ATTAACATATTAATTGCTGTGAACTGCTCAGCCTCCAGATAGCCACACGCACACAGACACACCCACAGACACACACACCGTGGCCGTAAAAAGAGATGAAACAGAAGGCGATATCCGCTTTAATCCCACGACAGCCCCGGCAATACGGCTGTTTAAACTTGGCCGGGTTCTTGGCACGGGGTTGCTGCTGCGAACACGAGGATTATGGGGCCAAAACGACTTTGTGGTTTTTATACGGTCACTTTTTTTGCCTTCTTTTTTGCAGTGTCCTGGAGACGGTCGCGGCTCGCAAGGATATTCCCGGCGCCAGCAATAAAGATGCTTGCGTCACCATTCAAGAATGACCCCCTAATACTCCTGGCTCCAGCAACAACTCCACCGCTAAAAAAAAGGTACACGCTGCTCAGTTAAAAGTTCGTGAAACAAACACTTCGCGACAAGACACGCACCGAATTTGTCATCTTTTATCCCCATCGCAATCACTCAAGATTCATTTGCCGTAATTTTTCACAAAGTAAACCCACTGCGGGTAGCTGTGGGAATTTCAGTGACTTTTGTTTATTTTTCCGGGTCGCGCACGGGACCAAGTCGGCCCGGCGGAAACTACTACGCTCAATCAACGTGCAGTCCACCTCATAAGTATTCCGTCGGCGCGGCGGAGAAACTGTCCGGTGGACCGGCGCGGCTGCGCGGCGCGGCACAGTGGGCCAGAAGACCGGTGGAGGCGGACAAAACTCTGGACGCGGTTTCAGCTCCGGAGTCGCTGAATGGGACTCGAACCGAACGTGTGACCCCACCAATGGGTTCCTCGTTCGGAGAGCAATCTATTGGTGGGGTCACACGTTCGGTTCGAGTGCCATTTAGCGACTCTGGAGCTCAAAACGCGTCTGTAGTTTTGGCCGGCCGCGCCGGTCTTCTGCCACACTGTGCGCCGTGCGGCACGGCTCGGCGGCCTGGCCGTAGAGCCGCGCGAAGCCGCGAAGCAGACGCTCCTCATAACTGCAAAGCACAAGGGAAAGTGTCGGTCGGACGGCGTCGTTATATTTGTCCGTGAATCCGCGAGGCCCGCAGCGCCGCCACCCACACCTCAGCAGACTGATTCCGAGAGTCGCCGTCGTCGCTCTGTCTCCCTCGCACTCACGGGGCGTCCCGTACGGGCGCGAGAGGGACGAACCAGTCGGCCGCTCCGCAAGGACGACAAGCTCCTGGCAAGGCTCCTCGCCAAGACGCGCGTCCCCGTCCACCCGGTCCACCCTCCGCAGTCGTAGTCATCAACCCCCGACGGCGGCCTCAAGCGGCCCGAAGCCCGAATCACGAAAACAAACAATTAATCTGGAAAACAAAGGGTATCGGAGGAGGAGGGGGAGGGGGGAGGGGAGGGAGGTCCGTCTGGCACGCATGACGACATCGGCCCCCAAATGAATGGGCGCAAGTAGTGATGAACCGGCTGGAGTGGAATGAGTGGAGGGGGAAGGAGAGGGGGAGGGGGAAGCGGCCGCATCCAGTCTCTCATCCCGCAATGATGCTATCGGCACCAACTCGTCTCTCTCTCTCTCTCTCTCTCTCTCTCTCTCTCTCTCCTCTCTCTCTCTCTCTCTCTCTCTCTCTCTCTCTCTCTCTCCCGGTCCCGCTTCCCACTCCGCGCGCACACCTGACAAATCAAAACGCGTAAATCCGTCCGGAGACGCGCGCAGCGGGAGGGCCGCGATACGAGAGTCGCGAGGCACGGGACTCCACGGCAGCACGCGCCGCGCCTCTCCAACGGGCCGAATTCGCCGACCTGCATTCGTGTACCCGCGCAGCGAGTGTCTCCGAAGCGGGCGCGAAATTCGGCGGCCGTGCCGCTAATTTCGTGGAAGCCAGCCTCCCCTCCCACGAGGTGCCGCCAAGTGATACTGTCCTCCACACCAAGTCGGCGTCCCTTGGAGGGGCTGGAGGGGCGGAAGGGCCCCGGAAGGGTCGCGTCGAGGGCCCCGGCCCCGCGTCGCTCCGTCTCCCTCGCACCGCCACGGCGCCCTCCTCGAGTGCGAGAGAGACGGGAGAGCGCCGCGTCTGGACCCAGCCTGGGCACACACCTCTGCGTTGGCCCACGCTGCCCTGCGGCCCCAGAGGCCCCGAGGCCGCGCCAGGGCTCCGGCCAGGGCCCCGGCCAGGGCCCCGGCCCGGCAGAGATAGTGGTCTGCCGCAACTTGGTGACAGAGCTACTTGTGTTCTACATCAACACGGCCGACAGCACAATGGACCATTTGGAAGGTGCGCGCGCCGCTCCGGCTTGCTGTGTTGCCCCCCCCCCTCCACCCTCTCGCGGGCTTTCCCCTTCGCACCCACAACATGCTCTCTAGCCAGCCTCGCGCATCCCCCCGCGGCACCTGCGCCCCGCCGTCGGAGGGATTCCGATATTTCACGATGTTTTCCCGATGGCACGTCAGCGACCGAACGGGACCCACTGCACACACACACGCGCACACACACACACAGCCAGTCACGTGCCTACGCGCCTTCCCTTCCCTTTCGTAACCGAATCGCGACCTCGGTTGCACCGCTGGGCCTCCACAGGCCGCCACAGGCCGCCACAGGCCGCCACAGGCCGCCAGCTTCGTGACCCGTCGACGGTAACCCAGCACGGCGGCCCCTCGCTGCTGCCGTGGCGGCGTCGCGCCACTACTTTTTCCAGCCCACGATCGCCCTGTCATCCGCGCGGGGTTGGCGGCTGGAGACCGTAGCGCGTTGCACAAGGCGCTGACAGCGTTTTCGAGAGCGTCGGAGGAGCGCCTGCCAAGGCGGGGGTAGGCAGACCCGCCGTACTCGGGTGCGTCGTATTGCCTACCCCGTCGGGGGCTCGCTGCGGGCCGCGCTGGATTCGTCGCGCTGTCCCTCTCGCACTCACGGGGCGTCTCGCAAAGGTGCGAGGGAGACAGCGCGACCAGGACCACTCGCTCGGAGTCAGCCTCCAGGAGAGTGTCCAGGGGACACGCTCCACCCGCTGCGGCGGTTCGTTCCAGCCAGGCTGCAGCCAGGCTCCAGCCGGGCACGGGTCATTCCAGCCTCCAGCTGATCGAAATCAGTGTCCAGGCGCGCGCAAGGCTATGCTCTCTCTCTCTCTCTCTCTTGACCTCTCTCTTTCTCCCTCTCTCTCGCTCGCTCCCGCACGTGGTCGCAGAACAGGAAGGCAAAAAAAAAGTAGAAACAAGTCGCACGGTAAAAGGAAAACAGGGTGCGACATAAACACTTTGACGGCGCTGCCCCCGCCTGGTATCGAACCCGCGGCAGCCGCGGCCAGTCCGGCTGGCCGGGTCGTACGGTGACTCACTCGCAATGCATTCCGCGAGGGAACCGGCCGAGAGAGAGAGAGAGAGAGAGAGAGAGAGAGAGAGAGAGAGAGAGAGAGAGAGAGAGAGAGAGAGAAGCAGAAACAGAGAGGCTGCAAGACGGAGAATTTCGCCGAGTGCAGCCGACACGGCGTCGGGCCGCACCGGCCGTCCGTACATCATGACGCCCGCTGCCGCGTCCTCCGCTCCCAAACTCCCGTACACTTCCAGACGCGCGCTCAAACTATCTGAGCGTCTGCAAGCCAGCCCGCCAGCCGGCCAGCCAGGCAGCCGGGAGAACCGGCTCAGCATTTCTGCTCGCACTGTACGATGGCGGGCGTCGAGCGTCTCGGAACGAAACGCCAAGCTCCAAGCGCGAAGCTCCAAGCTCGCAAGGCTGGCTGAGGCGCATCGGCTGGAAAGTACAGGTGGGGTCCGGTCGGGCCGTCGGGCTGAGATAACAGCAAGGCACGGCCCGGCCAGCCTCCTCGCAGCCGGCACGGCACGGCACGGCACGGCACGGCACGGCACGGCCCGGCGCAGCTACAAGCAAGCGCACTGGTCGCCCTAACCTATCCGGCCGGTCCGCCCGGCTAACGCGCTGCGGAGCTAGCGGGCCCGCGCGTTGTAAACCCCAGCACACAGTTTCTCCGACTTCCACTCACAAAAAAAAAGAAAACAACGCAAAGGAGTTAGACGTTTTAGCTATGACTGAAATTGTTGTGAAGATTTGGCGAAAAAAGTTTGGCCAGCTGACGTACCTCGGAAGAGCAGGTAAACTCATGTCATTACCTCTAGCAAACTTTACTCTTTAGTGAAAATGTTTCTGGAAATTTTTTCTCGTCGTGGATTAGCTTGACTCCACCCAATTTGTTCGAGGTTGTTCAAGGATGATGCTTTGGGACTCTTCTGCTGGCAGGGTGCAGCAGGAGCACGCTGATGCTGAGGAGGCATTGCATCGCTCCATCTCTGTCGCACTCATCGGGCGTCCCATAGGAGAGCAAGGAGGACAGAGCGACTAAATGGAGGTTCGGAGTGGCTCGGCAGGTCCCTTTGTTGCGGACACTGCCGGACACACGGCGATTCCGAGAATGTCGAAAGCTCGCGCTGCTCGCGTGGAGCTGTGCGGGTGCGGGCAGGGGAGTGGGGAGCCGGGCCCTGTACAGACTGTACCCACTGGGGGCACTAACTCGATGCACTCCAGGAGCCGAGCCGAGCAGCCGGGTCCAGCCGGGCCGAGCGACGAGCCGAGCCGAGCCGGCGGTCCAGGCGGGAACACAAGAGAGGCGTACGTGTGCGCACATTGAACTAGGGCAGAGCCTTCACCCATATATCCTTGTCCTTCCCGTCCCCACCCACTGCAACCCCCCTGCATCGCATTGCATGCGACGGCAACGTTACTGTTCCAAAATTCGCCAAGAACGTTGAATAAATCGATGTGGTGGTTTGAGTAGTATGAAACCTTCGTGGTCACCCGCCGCCATCTTGGACACCCTCGGCCTCGGTTACCTCATCATCTCAACTCAGGCTCCAGGGTAGACGTTGGCGGGTAGCTTGAGGCACTCAAAATAGCAGCGGGTGACCTGGGACATCTAAGGGCCATAAGGTGCAGCAGCACGGGGGAAGGCAATCCGGGGCACCCAACAAGGCGAACGGTGACCTGGGGCAGTCCATACTACTGACGTGACTCACCTGTGGTGAAGAGGACGACGGCTTTTAAGCAGGAGTACTCGGCCGAGTCGACGTGTAACGCCTTGAGCTTCTCCACCTGCTCCTGGAAGATCCTGATGTGGTCCATGAAGGCCACCACCCTGTCCGCCGCCATGGGGGAGGCGTGCAGCCCCGCCGCGGCCAGCAGGGGCGCCACGTGCAGCGGCATGGAGCACTGCGACGCGTTCAGGACGAACAACTCCGACCACACTAGCCGTAATAAGGCGACCTGGTCCGTCACCTGGAGGAGGAGAAGAAGGGCGTGAGCGCTTTGGACATCACACTGAAATGCTTGACGACTCTTTGCACATGGACGTATTTATGCAGGTGCCAGCTGGGCACTAATTCGTACATAAAACAGGTACAATTTTGCCAATACTTCACCACAATATCGAAATATTTTCCCCTAATTTATGTATAAAATTGTACATAGCTTACATATGCACATAATAGGTACGAGTGCATCTGCAACAACAAAAACAAGCCGGGCGTCCTCACCTGGAGGTCAGGGAAGTAGGGTATATTTCTGGCCCACTCGACGGCCGAGAAGAGGAGTCTGGCCGCGAGCTCGCAGATGTTGTCTATGCCCATGATGTTGTTGGGCTGCATGCACTGGCCGTAGCGAGCCGCCGGGTAGGGCTCTGCCCGCAGCAGCAGCGAGATGTACGAGGACAGGTACGTGTGGCCGTTGAGGCCCGCCGCCGCCGCCACGGCCGCCGCGTCCCCGTTGGACAGCGCGTACTGCCCGGTCAGCCCCGTCGCCTGCGTCGGGGGGACCCGGCCTCTCTGCACCGCTGCAACAAACAAACAAAAGCAAAGTTGAGGCAATCTGCTCGCACCTGTGCGTGTGTGCGTGTGTGTGTGTGGTCCGGCCAGTCAAAAGGCGCCCGTCCCAGCCGAACAGGATTTATAACACGGGGGCGGCGCAGCCGAGCCATGAGGACACAGAGAAAAAACTAACGAGAAAAAAAAAATAAACCTGAAAAATTTCCCCGCTAAGTTGAGCCCATTCCAATCAGGCTCAATCTCGAAGCATTAGCCGGGGAACCATAATATGCACGCGCGCGGCCCCGGTGAAGGACAGGTGAGAGAGAGAAGCAGAGGTCAAACTGGGGGCGTGCGGAGTGTGTGATCGGATGATAAAAGTTCCGATAGGCGCTTGTGTCCGGTTTCTCAGTACGTCGGAGGGGCGTTGCGAGGGGAGGGGGCGGGAAGGGGCGGGGCGGGGCGGGGTGGGCGAGGACCGGTATGGGTGCGTGCCTGGTTTTGGTCCAGCCCGGTGCAGGCGCGGGGCCTGTGCTGCATGTCAATACGGTGGCGTCCCGTTTGGGCGAATCTTCTACAAAACCACGCTGATTTATCAGGTTGCTGTTTACCAACACCTGCCGTCCCCAGACACGTTGACTTATGAACCGCACCGACTGGTTCCTGTTCCAAAACCTCTGGCTGCACCATGGCCCTTGTGCAGTGAAGTCCTCACGGCGCGAACTATTCCGGGATCAAGCGTCGTCGCACAGTGGGCCAGAAGAGCGGTGGAGGCGGTCAGAATCCCGGACTCGTCTTGAGCTCCAGAGGCGCTATATATGTAGGACTCGAACCTTACGTGTGACCCCACCAATGGATTGCTCTCCAAACGAGGAATCCATTGGTGGAGTCACACGTCCGCTTCAAGTCCGTTTTAGCGACTCTGTAGCTCAAAACGCGTCCAGAGTTTCGGCCGCCGCCGCAGGTCGTCTAGCCCACAGCTCATCGAATTCGTCCAGGCCCAACGCCCAGCCAAGGAGGCTCCAAACATTCAATTACCACGACGACAGGACGATGCCGAAGCTCCCATGTAACGGAGAGCCTGACTAATGCGATCCCGACCGAGAGTCGTTTTGCTGGACGATCTTGTCAACCTGCCGGCGAGCAGCCAAAACAACTTTTCTAGCGCCTCACATTGAGAGGAAAAGTTTTGCTGTGGTTGACGAAATTGAAACAAAGCGATGAGCTTTTGGGTGCTGTCTGGCCTTCGACTGGCTCTTGGCTCTGTCGAGGTGTCTATTCATCTCTGTCCAACCCTCGCTGATTGGCCGGCCGCGCCGAATGAAGACCTAGCGATCCATCAACAGGACTTGAACGTGACGTCACGCGACGTCACCCGGATGGCTCTGCCATGGCTCTGATTGCACAACCTGGAAGTCGCTGTCAAGTTCGTTAGAAGCCACTCCGGTATGATACACCGTACTGTAGCAGCAGTCCTTCTCTGTCTATCTCGCACCTCCAGGGGACACCCCATGAGTGCGATAGAGACAGAGCGACGACTCTCGGCATCAGTCTGCTGGAGAACGCGCTCGGCGGCACCGTACGCGAAACCCCTTATCAATACGCCCAAGGTGGCATCGCTTGCCAAGCAGGTAGCGTGCTATTTACACTGCGTTTTCGTCGCCCCGTCTCTCTCGCACTCGCGTGGCGTCGCGTGGAGGTGCGAGAGAGACAGAGCGACGAAACCAGTCTCGGCCTGCAGCAGCGGTTCCAGATCCGAGAGATGCCCTCATCTCGGCGAGGACGTGTGCGCTCGCGACGCGGAGGGGGCGGAGCGGGCGAAGCTAGGCCGTCGCGGACACACTGCGAAAACGGGCGAGCCGCTCCACTCCACTGTACGTGTCCCGAACGGATCGGCCCGCCCATCGGGCCCGCCCACGCCGACGCACTGTTTGCTGTGGGGGGTCATTTCCCAGTGCCGTAGCATGCCGGACCCACACTTTGCGCAGGGGATTCATCAAACCGTTTCCGAACTGGACCCAGCCAGACCGCTCCCGAGCGGGAACCCTTCGCTCTGACAGTGCAGCCATTCCGAGAGTCGTCGCTCTGTCCCTCTCGCACCGCCACGGGACGCCCCTTGAGTGCGACAGAGACAGAGCGACGAAAACGACTCTCAGTCTGAGCCGCCAGCGCTGAACTTCGCAAGACGGTCGCTAATAAGCAGAATCCATCTTCGCTCATCGCCGACGACGTCAAAACGCGCTCTTCTCCAACGATAGGCAGAAGGTCAGACGCGAGGCTAGCGGTGTATCTGATCACCATTTATTCCCACACAGCTGAGCCGTAGGGCTGAGGGCGCTCTGAGCGCGACCTTGAGCGGGGCGTGGTGAGGCAAGGCGGGGCGGGGCGGGGCGGGGCGGGAAGGCTTCAGTAGCGCCGGACGGGAAACGTTGATGAGGTTTGACCAGACGGCCGACAGCGGCCCCGCCCCGCCCCGCCCCGCCCCGCCCCATCCGCCATAAGCCACGAGACGGCTAAAAGGAATTCGAGGAATACACTCACTGCACCCACCCACCGCACACGCACGCACACAGTGTCATTTAACGGCCATTTTACCACCATCAAACTGGATCGTTATGGCATCGTCACTTTACTCTATGCACTCGGTTTACTGCCGGTATAAAAGCGCGCCGCAGCCGGACAAGCGTTTTTCGTCGTCTCTGAATTTCAAAGCGAATCGGAAACACAAAAACCTCCGGCGGCGTTAGACCGCGTTAGACCGGTCGCGGGGTGAGGTATGGTTCCTTTGCAGGTGCGCGACAAACAGGTGTCGAGAAGGCCCCCTAGTGTAGCGGCCGCGCCGCGCCCCGCCACGGCTGATTGACTTGCTAATGAAAGAGCCCATTAGTAAGCACCTCAAAGTCTCAAACCGAGTAAGCGCATCCTATGGCCGCTCTGGCGGGCGTGGCGGCTTGGCGGCGCCCCGCGCTCCAATCGAAGCCGCGCCGGTCGGTCAAACAGGGTTCACTCGGAACCCGCCGATGGGAACGTCCAGGGGCACCAAGCGCGCATCGAGACAACGGGACAATTTAGCACCCCTTGCCCTCTAAAAAGCCCCCTGAAAGGTACGCAAAAAGCCGCCTGTAAGGAGGCAAAGAGTGCCACTTTGCATTATTTCAAACCGGCCAAATCATCCACAATTTTGTCATAAAGTGACGACAAATTTTAACAGTGTGCATGTCTCGTCGGACTCTTCGCGGTGTAGGCGCGCGCGGGCGGCAAAACGGGCATTTTTCCTACCGCCCGAGTAGCCGCAAGCAGCGGCAAGCAGCGGCAAGCGCAGAGACTTAGGTTAGGTCGGCCTGCGGTCTGCCGCCACCCGCATCCTCCCATTTCTCCCGGGCGTGACTCACCGAGAGAGAGAGAGAGAGAGAGAGAGAGAGAGAGAGAGAGAGAGAGAGAGAGAGAGAGAGAGAGAGAGAGAGAGAGAGAGAGAGAGCAACCACAGTGCCTTCACAGTCCCTTCACGTACGTAAAGAAAGGAGTGCGTCACGAAAAAATAAAAAACACAACAGAAACAAAAGGAAAACGTAACAAGCTTCGCGGCGGAAGCGGGTTCATTCAAATTTTTGGCGCCAAAGTCGGAATGCTACTGATTGACCCGACTAATGGATGCCCCTGCACGATCACGCTGTGGGGGGGGGGGGGGGGGCGTTGCGGTGCCGCCTGCCTGTCTGACAGGGGCCCGCCCAGACGGACGCAGCCTAGACAGATCTTGTCCGGCGGCCCGACAGTGTGGCGGCTATCGACAAGGTGTCGGCCGGTGTCGGACAGGGTTTCGCTGACGTCCAACTAATTAGGGCAGTCGTCGACGCGCCGTGGGAACCAGCATCCCGTCGCCCACCGTTTCACCTGGTTGCCTACCCACGGAGGGGCTCGGCCCATGACATCATCTTCAGCACTAATGAAGCGCAATGTCATCACCACCACGACCACGCCGATAGCAGACAGACAGACAGACAGACAGACAGACAGACAGACAGACAGACGGAGCCAATCAGATGGAAACCACGTTGGTTTCCTTCATTCGTAGGGATTTGGAACAAACTACGACTGCTTGCGCGAGATGACCTCCATTTTGATTTACGGCGGTAAATGTACGTCATCATCCGTAAGGATCTCGGCACACGATTCACAGACACACAGACACACACACACTCACACACACACACACACACACACACACACACGCACACACACACACACACACAGAGCGGCGGCGGCGTTCCCATAGTTCCCCCGGCCTCGCCCACGCCCAGCGCTCACTAAGAGCCGCCACAGCGCGCCTCGCCACGCCGTGGGCGCCAATCCGAAGATCTGCATAATTATTAATTGTTATAATAACGCGGCGTCGCTGCCGCGCGGAGCCTCATTGGCCTGTAAGTGGCGCTCGGAGCGTGTTTGGAATGGCTCGTCACAAATTTCGGACTTTCTCGAGTTTGTTGGCATGCCGCGCGCCGTGTCTCCGTTGCACTGCTGATCTGCATGCCGCCAGCAGCACTTACGGAGAGAGAGAGAGAGAGAGAGATAGAGAGAGAGAGAGAGAGTGAGAGAGTGAGAGAGAGAGAGAGTCTCTTTTCTATGCCAGTCCCTTTACTAGAAGCATCAATTGCGAGCAGCACTTAGCACGTACACCCAAAGGGCGCAGAGGTTTTACGCGGGAACTTGTTTTGCGTCGGACTGGCGGCGTTGGTTGTTGACAGAGTGCTGGTCGGTGCCGCGCGCTGCGCGTAGCATAGCAGGTCACCCACTCAGCGGCTAGTTGCGCGCTGCACGGCATTATGAACGTACCTCGCGACCCACAGACGGACAGACAGGCGGACAGACAGCTAACGACTTTACACTATCCAGCCGACATGTAAGTGCGCGATTGATGGCTGGGGGTAAGTAAGGCACACTATAAGCAGGCGGAATTTCTCATACTGCAAAGGTCACGGTGCGCGCGTGCGTGTGTGAGTGTGTGCGTGCGTGCGTGTGTGTGTGTGCGTGCGTGCGGTGACGTCACCGAAAGGGAGTCTGGGAGCCAAGCGGCAATCCGGGAACTGGGACATGGCTGCTACTGTGTCCCCAGTCCTCCGCGTCGCCGCGCGGTCGGTCCCTACACCGTGAGGGAAAACTCCAACGTCAAAGTCGAGAAACTTTGGACGCCTTGCGTTGTAGTATTGCGAGCGACATGATCCATCAAGAAGCGTGTCTGGGAGATGTTCCGATGGGGCCCACCAGGCCCACCAGGCCCACCAGGCCCACCAGGCCCACCAGGCCCACAGGCCTCGCAGGCGAAGGCAGGTTCCGGGTGTGTAAAGACCCGAAGGGGTACCGGTGGGTGCCGGCGGCGGGTGTCAGTCGAACATGCCTTCCGCGGCGGGCCCCGGCACACTCATTCCGAGCAGTCTTCTCTGTCGCACTCACGGGCCGCGCCGTGGCGTGCGAGAGAGACAGAGCGACGAGACGAGTGTGGTGGCCGAGTCATGCGTCCATGACAGAGCGATTGGGCGCCTCTGTGATGTGCCGCGCCGTCCAGTCTTTACAAGCTCGCGCCGACTAACCATTACCTCGTCCCCCATCACACGCACTCATCCTGAGTATTGACAACCCGCGCCACGTTTGGCCGATCCGACTGCGGTTTACAGTCACATCAGCCAAATGCAAAAACAAATTCTGGTCGTCCAATAAAAGCAAGGTGTACAGCAAGTACTCGAACAATGCCCAAACTCCCACACCTCCTTCACGTCAATAAAAAGATTTTATTTTTGTTTCACGGGTTCAGCGTCTATCAGTATCACGGAGGTCCTGCAATGATTAATCAAGTCACACCTGCAGTGGATGACCGATCGACACTAAGCTCTCGTCACAAAAAGGAAGAATAAAACTCGACGCGTTTTCTCGACGAGTGCTGCTCGCCTGCAGGATTCCGGGCACCGCTCTGTCTCTCTCGCACTCACGGGGCGTCCCGTAAAGGGAGCGAGAGAGACAGAATGCTCCTCTCCTTTGCGTCTCCGCGATGCAGACCGGGATGCTGCTGCTATGCTTCTGCTGCTGGTGTGATCTTGATAGCTACGCGCCATCCAGCCCCTACCAGTGTAATGGCTGCGCACACGAACGGCCAAACTAAGCGACTTACCGCCGCAAAAACGTCGAAGGGACTCTGTGTGTGTGTGTCTGTGTCTGTGTGTGTCTAGGCTCATTTCCATAAGACAGCGAGGGTTCCGTCAGATGCTGGCGCGATAGAGCGCGGAGGATCCAGTGCTTCCCTGCGCGGCAGACTGATTCCGAGAGTTTCGTTTTCGTCGCTCTGTCTCGCTCGCACTCAAGGGGCGTCCCGGGTAGGTGCGAGAGAGACAGAGCGACGAAAGCGACTCTCGGAATCAGTGTGCGGAGCGTCGCAGTGCGCGGCAGAACGTACACTACTCTGCGCGGTAACCTCCGCCCGCCGCGCCACTGCAAGCCACGGCACTCGGCACTGGGGAAAGGTAGCGAGACGTGCGTCTGTGCGAAAGCCAGCCGCAAAAAGGGTGTCTCGCCAATTACGGACCGAATTAAGGACTTTTGGGCTGACCCTGATTTCCGGCGCACGCCACCCAGTGGGCGAGAAGGCCAGAGGAGGCGGTCAAAATCCCGGACGCGTTTCGAGCTCCAGAGTCGCCAAATGTCACTCGAACCGAACGCATGACCCCACCAATGCATTGCTCTCCGAACGAGGAATCCATTGGTGGGGTCACTCGCTCGGTTCGAGTCCATTTAGCGACTCTGGAGCTCAAAACGCGTCTGGAGTTTTTGCCGCCTGCGTCGGCCCACTGTGGGTCGCGAAGAGGTTGGTGAACACGTCCGTGTCGGTGGCGTCGCGCGGCGCGGCCGGCCGACAGCGCCGCCACCACACTGGCGCGGCCTCGCGCTGCCCGAGCGCCGCTGCGACACGATAAACTTTGATGTCTTCTTCCCGGCGGGACTCGGCGTCGACCAATTGATAACGACTCGGCAACAATTGCGGCGACCCCGCTTACGGACGGCCCCTGGAGGGCAGCACCAAGGCAGCGCCGCGGCGGCTTGGTTAGTTGGACGAATAGTTTCTGCGAAATTCGCGGCAAAGGGACCGCTCGACCGGTCGGCCGGCCAGCCGCCACCCCCGCACCTTGGGCCCGGCGGTCCTTCGGTCCTTGGGACCTTCGGCTCGGGTTTCTGATACGCCCCATTTCGGAAAGGGGAGAACGCAAGGACGCAAGGACCGTTCCTCCCCAACTCCCTGCGGAGCAGAAACACTTTCCCCCGAAAAAAAAAAGAAAAATTCGCACCACTGTGGTCACGTCCTAGCGGCCGGGCAGGGGGAGGGGAGGGGAAGGGCAGGGAGGGGAGGGGCAGGTGTCCTGGGAGACGAGACCAGTAGCCGCACGTTGCTCCCCAATTTTCGCCCCAGAGGTGTCAAGGTGTCAGTCAGCGAGGGTGTCAAAATGTCAACCAGTCGCTTTTCGCGGAATGCAAAAGAGCAGAGCCCCGGAAAAAAAGTGAAGAAAAAAATAAAATGGGTAGAAAAGCGCTTTCGAAGAAGTGTTGCATTCAAATGTGTGCGAGAAAAGCCCGCGCGAACGGGGGCGACGCGCCTATGCAGACTGATTCAGAGAGTTCGTCGTTCTGTCTCTCTCGCGCTCAGCCCCTGTAGGTGCGAGAGAGACAGAGCGACGAAACCGTGACTCTCGGAATCAGTCTGCTGCAGGGGGTTATCTTTCGGTGCAGCGCGGTGCGAGGCTGGTGCAAGCACAGTGCACGCAAAGCAGGTCATCTGCTCGCCAAGTTTACAGCCTAAAACCTCCGCAAAGTGAAATACCCGCCGCACCGGCTCGGCTGTTCTGTGCTGTTCTGTGCCGTAAACAGGGTCTACAACACGCATGCACCGAGACAACATCAACAAAACTCGAAACAACGCTTTACCTTTTAGTTTATTCCGTTTTTTTTGTTTTTTTTTACAAAATGTCAGAAATTTTGAAAGCTAAGTTGCATGAAGTGCTACTGCAGCGCACATCAACGAAAACGTGGTTGCTGCCAAGCGTAGAGGGGAAAGGAGAGTTTTCCCCGCAAATCCTTGATATCACGATCACTAGACTCTCTGCAGTAAGTCTTGCCTCTGTCAAGGCGGCAACGTGATCCCAGAGCGATGTGAAGTAACGCCTTAACGGTAAGGCACGCTGCGTCTACACCCAGAAAAGTGGTTTCCGGATCTTTTATTTTCTTGGTTTTTCCAAGAAAAAGATCTTCACATAAGAAAATTTTTTTTCGTTAAAAAAAAATTTAGATTAAAAATTTTTTTGACAAAAAAACAAGAAAAGTTACATTTTTTTAAATCCAAGAAGTCATTTTTTTTGGGGTGAAGTACACCGTCAGGGTAAAAACACGCGCGAAAAACAGGGGCAGCCGCCGGGATTCGAACCCTCCGATTTAAAACGAAAAACAACAACAGACCTAAACAAATCGGCGCGACGGCTGCTCGTGCCGACCGAGAGCGCCACGGCGTCAGCGGCGGCCGTTGCTTTAAATTGCCACAATTAGGCAGCGCGCTGGACAGAGTACACTCTCAGGAAAAAAGAAAAAAACTATGTTTACTTTCAATCGTAACCACCATTCGGCGCGAGGCCTGGCGCGGGCTACAAAGTTTCTAGCTTACCGGTATTCTGGGAAAACGTTGGCAACTTCATAACTAGAATAAAGACAAAAAACCAGGATAAGAATGGCGCGTCGATATCGGCGGGGCTATGAAAACACCCCCACGTCGTCAGACGCCTCTCTCGGCGTCCGCCTGTCGCGGAGCCTCGCGGAGCGTCGCGGAGCCTCGCGGAGCCTCGCGGAGCCTCACGCGTGATAAGTCATAAACGATGCGCATTTCGGCGAAAAAGGCACCAAGTATCGCCGAGGCGATGGCGCCGATAAGGCTTATGGGAAACGCCCATATGGCTCTGCGTGTGCGTGTGTGTTTTTTTGTGTTTTTGCATCTGTGTGAGTGTCTTGTGTTAGAGAGTAGAGACAGAGAGAGGGAGAGAGAGAGAGAGAGAGAGAGAGAAGAGCTGCGTGCTGTGCCCAAGCCAGGCTCGAACGGTTATCTGAAGGATTCGCGACGCTGCTCCAGCAATATAACTAATTAAAAACTGACGTTGTTCCGATCATCAACAGAAACCAGAGGCCAGACACGAATCTGTGGGAACTGCATCGGCGGGCACTTTTCGCTGGATCCAAATGCTGATCCCCTTTAGGCACAGAGAGATGGAGCGGGAGCAGCAGACTGATTCCGAGAGAGTCGTTTTCGTCGCGCTGTCTCTCTCCACCGCGTGTAGGTGCGAGAGAGACAGAGCTCCAGGAATGGGTCCAGGCGCGGCCGCCAGGTGCGACCCGATTTGCATCGGGCGAGGCATTCCCACAGTGACGCAAATAATAATCGATCCCGGATCGGCAAGTGTCATCCGCGGCGATCCGACCGGACAATGGCTGGGAAAGCGCCGAAATGCATTAGCATTCTGTTTGCCTACTTCTCGGGGCGTCGCCGCGGCGTCGCGGCGCTGTGGGGTGGCACGGATTACCCGCCGGACCTTCCCCTCCCCTCGCCTCGCCTCCCCTCGCCTTTGTCCGGCCGAGTCCGGCAGGCCGGCCAAGACGCCGATTCCACGTTAATTTACGTGATTTATGACAAAGAATGATTACATGCAAAGCATGCAAAGCGGTGATCTACTTGGCCGCCGTGAAGACGCAGAGACAATGTGGAGGGGAGGCACCCCTCCCCTGTGCGGCCCGCCCCGCCCCGCCCCGCCCCGGATGACCAGCGCGAACAGCTAGGGGGACAGGGGTCATCCTTGGAGTCCCGTGCACCGAAACTGGATTCCTGAGGTGGGACGTCCTGGCCGGCGTCCTGGCCGTGCTGACCACCACCGAGGAGGCCGTCGCCCTGCCGTCGCCCCGCCGCGGCGCGCCGTATGCGTATGCATGAAGGCAGCCGATCGCCCCGATGTACCGGACTGGTAGGACTGCCACCGCCACTGCCACCGGCACGCCGGACGGACGCACTTGCGGCACAATCCTGCTTTCGGTCCCACGCTGCCTGCGTATGGCACCGCGTAGCGCCTGCGCGTCTTAAAAATGCACCCACCACTCACCGATCGGGAGTGACCAGAGCCCTGCTGGACAACCCACCCCGCACCCCCGGGCACCAACGGGCAACGGTCCCGTAGCCGATTGCGCAAGTCCAGGACTTTCCCCTCCAGAAGTAAAGTGGCCCTGTCTATCTTCGACGCACGCATGACATGGTTTCAAACGGTTGGAAATCTTAGCGCTGAGCTGCGAGTTGGACTTGAACCCCGCGTCCCCCTGACCTTTGCACCGGTTCGTTCGTTTTGTGCGCGGAGGACGTTGCCAACGGACGCACAGTGGGCCGGAAGACCGGTGGAGGCGGACAAAACTCTGGACGCGTTTTGAGCTCCAGAGTAGCTAAATGGGACTCGAACCGAACGTGTGGCCCCACCAATGGATTGTTCTCCGAACGAGGAATGTAGGACGGTCCCTGATACTTCCCCCGAAGCCGAGGAAGATTTCCGCCGATATTTGGGACGGCCAACTAAAGCGGCAGGCTGACCGACAGATAATCTCTACGCACGTCTCGTTACAAAGGACGCGCGCATGCGAAAACGAAAACAACAGCAGCAAACAAAAAGAAAAGGGAGCGGAGTCGCGCACCCACGTGAGCTAGATCACGCTAAAAAAAAAAGCACAAAAATAAAAAATGACAGCTTGAAAAAAAAAAGATCCTATCGAAAATTTTGGCGAATTCACTACCTTTTATAAAAAGCACATTGAATTTTTTTTTAAAAAATGACGGTTTCTCGTGGGACTATATAGCTACTTCAAGCTTAAAAATTTTAAATAAAAAGTTTTTTTTTACTTTTTAAAAATTTGAAAGAAAGCCTTTTTTTTCAAATCGGCAAAAAGCCCAGCCCGTTGTTCCCGCACGCGCAGGAAGCCGGGAAGACGGCTGGACTCTGTCTAATTGGTGGCCTATTTGCAGTGGATCGCGTCGAGAACAAGGGCCGGGCCCGGCCGAGCCGCTACCGCTATTCCCTGCCCGTTGTTGTTCGCGTGACCATCGCGGGTCTCAACTCGCTTGACCCCTCCGTCGCCTTCGCAGTGCACCACCACGCAGCGCCGCAGCCGGCCGCCTGGCTTGAAATAATAAAATGGAAATAATTTATTTGCATCCGATGTGATGAAATCCACGCGGACGCGCGAGGAGCGGGTACCTAGTAGGTGTTACCTCTTTTGCTGCGGAGGACGCCTTTTGACATTCATACGCATGCAGCTATTGTGTATGTGTGTGTGTGTGTGTCTGTGTCTGTGTCTGTGTGTGTGCACGCATTCACGGTGTTGAGCAAAGAAGGCCGATACGTACTCCGTTTATATACATACGCGTATAGCAAATTACCGACACGCATCGGTGACGCGCTTGCGTGTGTGTGCGTGTGCGAGCGAGTCGCTCTGCGTGCGTGTGTGTGTGTGTGTGAGTGCTCGAGTTGAGGGAGAAGGGATGGTCCTGCAGGATTTCCCACGATGCAGGACACACACGTGAGTGTCCAGTTTAAGAGAGAGAGGGGGGGGGGGAAGGGCGTTGGAGAGAGGGAGACGGAGAGTACCCGTTGCGTGCCCTGTTCGGTCATGGACCCTCTCATGACTCGCTCCTCTCGATGCCACAAAACCTATAAAAATAGAAGCCGCATCGACACGCACTCGGAATTTGAGACTTGCAGTGTGTTGCAGGCAAAAGTTGTGGGACGGTGTGAGAATGTTTGAATGAGAACGATTTGGCAAGGCTGGGTAGCTGGACTTACAGAAGGCAGAAGAGATTGACGGACGATCGGACGGAACAGACAGACGGACGATCGGACGGAACAGACAGACAGACAGACAGACAGACAGACAGACAGACAGACAGACAGACGGCTGTCCGAAGCAGCGCGGGGAGTAATTGGACGCAAAGTCGGTAACTTCCTTTCGGGGCACAAAAGCAGGGAAAGCAAACAACCAGCTATTACACTATTAAAACAAGCTGCCACGGCCGGGAATCGAAGTGAGGACCAACCGGTAGGCGACACGCTGGCTGGAACTGCGCTGCGGGCAGTTCCTGCAGTCTAGATTTTAGATTTTCTGAGCAGTGCTCCGTCACCCAGTCTCGCTCCCGTGAGGCGCGAAGGAGACAGAGTGACGATAACAGTCTTGGAAACCGACCTGCTCCCAGTGACCAGCGACCTGCCAGCGCTTCCGCACAGATCGAAAAAAAAACTGCATTGCTTGCAAAGGTGAAGCCCTGAATGGTCCGCCCCATTTAATTGCAGGTAATTATGTAATTAGGCTAGTGGCGAGGCGACTCGATGGCAGGATGAATGAGAGAGAGAGAGAGTGACAGAGAGAGAAAGAGAGAGAGAGAGAGAGAAATAACAGGCTACGCTGCGTCCCAAAATCCCAAATCAGCAGCGGATGGGTTAGGCGGCGCTGCGTTCGGCATTGCTGCAGTGTAGCTGCAGCATCGCCTCCCCGTCCGAAGCTCTCAAAGTAAAACACGGTCCGCATCAATCAGGCGTCTATTGGTCGTATCTCACCTCACGGAGCGGGGAGAGGGGGAGGGGGAGGGGGTCTGCTGCTGTTCAGCATAAAGGGGGCGGTGGCGGCCTGCCTGTCGAGACAAAACATCCATTAGGAAGGCGGTGTGTTGGGGCAGCGCGGCGGTCCGGACGCCAAAGGCAGCCAAAGGCAGCCAGGAGTGGAGCACCTCGTCCACCATCACGACCACACGGTGGGCCCGAAGACCGGCGGAGGCGGCCAAAACTCTAGACGTGATTTGAGCTTCAGTGCCGCTAAACAGGCCTCGAATCGAATGTGTGACCCCACCAATGGATTCCTCGTTCGGAGAGCAATCCATTGGTGGGGTCACTCGTTCGGATCGAGTCCTTTTTAGCGACTCCGGGAGCGCGTCAAGAGTTTTGGCCGCCTCCACCGGTCGTCTGGCCCACTGTGCGCCACTCGGTTACAAGGCCCTAACGCCACCTAGCACGTTCACCGTCCTCTCTCTGAATTTCACGCGTGGCGGTATCAGAATTTCGCATCAGGTGTTGCAAAGCGACACCGGCGCTGGCCCGGCACGGCCTGGGCCTGGGCCCACCTCCCACGCGGCAACTATCTCTTCCTGGACTGGGCTAATTGTGGACGGGCGAGCAGGGACACACCAGAAGTAGGTCGGCGCATGTCACAGTCTCCCACGCGTCCCGCATCAAGACGCGCACTCGCACACATGCAACAACCGCGTAAGTGAAATTGTTTGATAATGCTCCACACTGCCAGAAACGGGTGGAACGCGGAAAGCCCCAGGCAGGAACTGTCAACGTCGATTTTTCCACAAAGTTGTGGTTCAAATGCCGTTGATTCGACCATTATCGCAATGTAGACTCGACAATTATGGATGTCTATTCGATCATTATCGACGTAGCATCGATGAAGACTCGACCATCATCAATGTATGTTCGATAATTATCGATGTCGTCTGGACCATTGTCGATGTCGATTCGACACAAACCACTGACGAATCAACGATCATCGATGACAGTTCCTGACTGGCTACCCTCCCTCGCAACAGACGAGACGCAATGCATAAGACTCACCTTCTTTCCGCATGCCCATCTTTAAACATTTCTTGAGTCTGCAGTATTGGCACTGGTTTCTGTGATGCTGGTCTATCGGACAGTTCCTGTTCCCCCGGCACGAGTACGTGAGATTCCTCCGCACACTCCTCTTGAAGAAACTTTTACACCCTGCAACAAGAGGAGAAGGAACACATGAGAGAGGTAAGGCACTGCGCGGGGTGGGACGACGTCTGGGGATAAATCCTGCCCGTCGTCTGGCCGCCGCTGCCGCCGCTGCGAAGTCCGAAGGCATAAAAGAGCAATTTCAAAACTTGAATCGACATTCTTTTGTCGGACACGAGCCCTATAGAAATCCGGGGACGCCAGGCATTCCCCTGCCGTCCCGCCCCGCGCGCTCGGCAGCCACTGGACCACACTCACACACACACACTCCCACTCACACACGCGCGCGCACTCACACAGAGGGACGCACGCTCATCCTTCTTTCACTCCACATTAAACCGATTCCGAGGATCGCCGTAAAAAGGCGCGGGTTGGGCGCTGCTGTCGCGAGCCTCTCCTCGCCGCGTCCGAGTCCGCGTCCCTTGGAACCTGTTCCCCGTGTGCCAACGGACACCTCTGACCCGGCGCGCACGCCGCACACGCCGCGCGTCCGAAAGGTCGGCCAACTGATAAAACATTCAATGAGCACCGTGGCGCTAATGGCGGAGCACAGTGGGCCAGAAGACCGGCGCAGGCGGCCAAAACTCTAGACGCGTTTTGAGATCCAGAGTCGCTAAATCGGACATGAACCGGACGTGTGACCCCACCAATGGGTTCCTCGTTCGGAGAGCAATCCATTAGTGGGATCACAAGTTCGGTTCGAGGCCCTTTTAGCAACTCTGGAGCTCAAAACGCGTCCAGAGTTTTGGCCGCCTCCACCGGTCTTCTGGCCCACTGTGCGGAGGGAGACTTGAATGCACGAGGTGAGGTAGGCCCTGCCTGCACCGCGAGCTCCCCTTCCGCTCGCTTAGGGCCGACCCCTGACCCGGGCCTGCAGCGAGGCTAGCGCTCTGACTCACCGGCCGGGCCGGCCTTCGGCCAAGCAAGCTTTTTAATTGGACACTATTATTTTCCGAGTGTACCAACAAACGTGCTGAGTAACAGCACACCTAGAGGCTGCTGCAGCCTGTGGCCTCTACCTCCCGGGGCGCGCGGCGGGGAGGGCGCAGCAAGCGCAGCCAGCGCCCAGTCCCTACCACCTCTCATTATGCTTATCAGATGGTCAAACTCATCCTCACGTTTCGCCATTTCCACCCACGGTGAAGCCTATCGAGCCCAAATACACAAACCGCCGGAAAAAGGGAAGGAAAGCTTTTGCGGCTCTTGGCCGAGAAAGGGTACACACGACGCCAACCTGTGCCACTTGAAAGACGGCCAATTAGATGCAACCTCTCAGAGTCAATGCTTTTTTTGTTGTTTTTTTATTAGAAGGAGTGCTACGTGGGGCTGTTCAAGCGCACCTCAGAGAACGCCAGCTTTACAGTTCCACCTTTCTCTTAGACCACGAGACTTGGCAGGAAAAAATTTAAAGGACAACTTAGTTTCTACTTTCTTTGCCTGGATTTGTAGTCCTAGGCGTGACAATTGTTTATGTGACACGCCGTTTACAAGAAACACACCAAAATTAGATTATTTTTTTCGTCAAGTTGGCACCCTTTGATCGTCTGCCCCACTGTCCCCGGCACCCCCTCCAGCTCGCCTCTCCTCTTCATCGCCTCTGCCTTATCGCCCGATTCCACTCCCCCTAATCATCGGGCCTTTCTTCTCACGTTCCGAACGAAGCAATTAGGTACCGATTCGTGCGTATCAGGGTGTGACCAATGCGCACCAACACATCATCCCCGGGGCATGTATATGAGCGTGTGTGCGTGCGTGAGTGTGTGTGCGTGTTTGGGTACTGGTACATGCGCGCGAACAGAACCGAGCCGAACCGTACAGTACTCCTCCTCCTCCCGCCTTACCTTATAACCCTTTCGCAAGCTCGCGCCGAGCGCACCGCCGCAAAAAAAAGTGTCTCTAGGTGAGGCAAGACTAGAGAATTGAAACCTCATCTCGTCTTTGCATCCGGTAATTTACTTAGAGGGACCGCCTCCGCGATTTCGTCTTATTAAAACGTCATTACCATTACGTGAACATCAAAAGTCACTGGGTGGGCGTTCCTTTCAGGGATCGGGCCTTTCCTCACCTCGCCGCTCTCTCTCTCTCTCTCTCTCTCTCTCTCTCTCTCTCTCTCTCTCTCTCTCTCTCTCTCTCTCTCTCTCTCTCTCTCTCTCTCACGGGATGATCCACTCTCCCGTCACGTTACAACCGGATTCGATCGCAGCTCGGCTTATTCAAGAAGAGATGCGCCTTCACACGAGTATGAGAATTTCACCGCGGCGCAAACCACCGACCGACCAATAAGCGCGCGGCGCTCGTCCTGCAAATTTCCAGCGAAAACAATAACAACAACCCTTAGCAGACAATGGCCAGGTCGTTGTTGTTGTTGTTTGAAGGAAGGTACGAGGTCGCGCGGCGATCGGAAAGAACGCGAGGCGCATCGTCACGCAGATGAAAAAGAAGCAAATAAATATTCAGCATATGGAAATAAGCCGAACACGGCCATAGTGCACCCCGTCCGCCGTGTGTGTGTATGTGTGTGTGTCTGTGTGTGTGTGAGAGAGTACATGCGCGATTCCCCTGTGTGTGAGTGCGTGTTCTGCCCGGCCAGCCAAAGCCACAGCACTTGAATTCAAACTTCTCTCTCTACTTTTCTTCCCTTGCTGCTTCTTACTTCTTGGCGTCCGACGCCGCGGCGGCTGCTAAAGTCTTCAAATCGAGACAAGGCGAGCAATGAATCCCAGTGTGACAACGGCGACAACGAGCGCAGATAGCGGCGACACTCGTCGTCGCGATCGGTCGAGACTATCGAACGGCGGATCGACTCCCGCGAGCGTCTCGGCAAGCGGCGGCCGAGCGATCGATGAAGATATTTTGGGCAGTGTGCAGCCCGGACGAAACAGGTAGCGGGTACTGGTACTCGGACGACCGATGCATTGTTTGGTAATCATTCTTGAACATCTTGGGCGACCCGGCTGGCCTGACCCTGCGAGGGGCCCTGCGAGGCCCCAGCAAGGGCAGGGGAAGGGGGAGGGGGGAAGGAAGGCCCGAAGCGCACGAGGTCTGAGAGGGCAGCCAGTGTACCACCGTCCCGCCGCTTTCGATTGAGGCTTGCAAAATGTGTTTATCGAGGACCAAATTTGCCGGCGGAGCTCGCAGCAGCAGCGGCAGAAGAAGGTAGCAGACTGGACCGAAATTCCAGCATTACTTGCATGTACAGATTTTTTTTCAAGAAGCAGTGAAATTTATATCTAAATCGATAGAAAATTGCAATAGAAACGTGCAATTCAAAAAATTGTCCACTGAAAATCAAAGCTATTTCTCCTTGGGTCACGGTTCACAAGATACCAGCACTTGCTTTTTTTTTCTTTCCCTTTTCAAGACAAGTGAGCACTCTTGCTGTCGGAGGACGCAAAGCACACACACACGGCGGGGATTTGAGCGGCGCGCGCGCCACATTGCGCCTATCACGCGCGCGGCCGTGAGGGAGAAAGTAGGCAAGGTGGGCACTAAAACAGGCAATCCCGCGGGGAGGATAGGGCCCGTGCAATGGCGTACCGTTATGTCACTGCCGGGTAAAGGACACGAAAACGTTCTCTCGCGAACTGAGTCTACAGCAGCCGATGCCAAGAAAATGGACTGAATCTCGCACACACTTTGCATCTCGAATAGATCAAAACCGTTTCTGGAATCCGAAAGTTTTTTTCTTTAACTCAATGTGCTCCAGATACATCCAGAGATAGTTTCTAAAACTACGCTGACGGCAAGAACCGCGGCAGTTCAAACGGGGTTGGAGGCTGGGACCTTAACTTAAACTCGATTTTTCGAACCTTGAAGAATCTTGTGATAAATAACCTCACGGATGCACTAGTTAAAGTGCTTAAAGAACGAAATCCTTAGCACTGATTCTGGGAGAAAATGCTCAGGATATTTATATCTCCAGTTATAAGCTCCTGCTGGCGTCGTCTGCTGGTCTCAGTTCGTGAATTTGCCATACTTTCGTTCCGCCATATTTCGCGTATTGCACGGGCCCTATGGCCAGCCATGGCCGGCCAGTCCAGCGGGCTGTAAACCGTTTGACAATGGCGACGACCTGTTCGGCCCGCCGCGTCGCGCCGCGTCGCGCCGCGTGTACATTGTTGCATGGGCCTTCATTCATGCACGTAGCAATGAATTGGCGGCGCGTTAGGGCCTCTAAGGCCCGCAATGCACGCCTTTACAGTGTGAGGGACGTGCTGGAAATGGCCGATTTCGCCTGCAGGCTGCTGATGCCGAGAGCTCTGTCTCTCTCGCGCCGACGCGGCACGCGCCAGGAGTGCGAGAGAGACTCTCAGTCTGCCGGCCGCGTGCGCGGAGAAATTGAATTTGGCGCCAAGTTGCTTTGGCGAATAACTCGCGGCGTAATGGCGAGCTTAATAAGGCCTGCTGCACTGGAAGGAGGACTGTGAATAAAACGAACTGCAGCGATGCCCGGCCGGGCAACGCAGCCCTGCAGACTGGGAGTCGTTTTCGTCGCTCTGTCTCTCTCGCACCCAGACGGTGCGCCACATGAGTGCGAGAGAGACAGGGCGACGACTCTCGGAATCAGTCTGCTGCAGATACGCGGGTCTGTGCCGTGGCCACCGACAGGCTGCTGTCCCTCTACTTGTTGAGGCGCGCGGGCGCTGGGCCTGGCGGGGCCTGGCGGGGCCTGGCGGGGCCTGGCGGGGCCTGGCGGGGCTTGGCGGGGCCTGGCGGGGCCTGGCGGGGCCTGGCGGGGCCTGGCGGGGCCTGGCGGGGCTGGCGGGGCCTGGCGGGGCCTGGCGGGGCTTGGCGGGGCCTGGCGGGGCCTGGCGGGGCTGGCGGGGCCTGGCGGGGCCTGGCGGGGCCTGGCGGGGCCTGGCGGGGCCTGGCGGGGCCTGGCGGGGCCTGGCGGGGCCTGGCGGGGCCTGGCGGGGCTCTGGCGGGGCCTGGCGGGGCTGGCGGGGCCTGGCGGGGCCTGGCGGGGCCTGGCGGGGCCTGGCGGGGCCTGGCGGGGCCTGGCGGGG